GTGCTGCTCCACCCATAACTGCCCCAGGGGGATTTCCTTATCAACCTTTCCCATGTTCTGCTCCACCACTAACTCCCCCAGGAGGATTTCCTTATCAGCCTCCCCAAGGGGAACCTTATACATTTCTATCCTATTCTAGTCCAGATGCACCACCAGCTTATGATTTATTGGGTCAGCATTCACCCCAGTCTTTTCCAAGTGCCCCTCCATCCTACAGTGACGCAATTAAATGTCAGCCCCCAACTGCCCCAGGTTACTCTCTACCCCAAATTCCCCAGGGTACATACCCACTTCGAGGAGCCCCAGATGCCCCCCAGGATGCATTCAAAAGCTCCTCACCTGATTCTTCAGGAAAAGGACCAATCTAATGCAGAACATATTCTAACTGATACCATACTGGGTAGGTTATCTAAGGGAATGGTGCATTAGCTAAGGGCCAGAGGTCAAGGGACGGACGCCACACTTCCACAGAAGTTAAACTATAAAAATCTATATGGAAATATATAGGTCTATTCTTACTTTATGATTGTGGAAAATCAATAACACATTGGTCATTCCTGTTGTACAGTGACTTTTTTGTCCCTTTGATTTACGTATTAATATTTTCTATAAAATTAGTCAGGTATTTATATCAACTGGCTTAAATGATTCATTTAGGTCTGCTAGAGACAGCAGACATTAAAAAACTATTTTGTATATTACACACCTTTTAAATTGATATATGTGTTCAATTTTATCATGTCGTCTAATCATACATACAAATCAGATGAATCTAGAGCTTTTTTTTTTTTTTTAACCATTTTCTTCATTAACTGTGTGTCCCTTAAGCCATCTTCCCCCCTGTTTGTGTCTGTTTTCTCACCTTCTGAAAAAGGCTACGGTTCCTTTCAGTTCGTTTTCAGGTCACAGCTATCATACCATTTTTGGTTAGTTTTTGAAATGTTATGCTGCTTGTCACACTCTTAAAGTTCCACGCTACTAGAGAAAGCTTGTCCAGTCAAAAGAAATTAAACCAAATCCGACTTGATTATAAAAGTTCTATTTATCTGTAGAAGGTTAGCTAGCTAAATGTTAATCAAGAGCTACGGCGGACTTACCTCAAAATTTTCCACCCAGTTAACAGGATTGAATGTGAGTATATCAGGGTGGAAATGAATAAATTGTATTTTTTGTGTATTGCAAATGATATTTGTTAGGTAATATCAGCACCACTTATTACAGCTGAGTGGCAGCGACATGTTTGTTTATTATTTGTTAATCCTTGTTTGTTATATAAGTTTTCGTTACTGACCTGAAATGTGCATGTCTGTTAGACCCACAAGTTTGTTGGTTTTTATGAACAATAGACCCTTAGCAGGTACTGTCTTCATCACCTTACAGGAAACACTTATGAAGGTTAGTATCTATCTGTCACTACCTCTGCCGGATGCTCGGACTGGAAAATGCCTCACTTGGTTTTGTGCCAAAATGTTGAGAAGTGAATTATAATTACATGATGAATTACAGCGTCTTTATTTGTAATCAAATAGAAATTATTTGGTAGCAACATGAAACATTTTGCACATTATTGTGTTATTTTGGGAAGTGAGTAGCATTAACAGCATATCTATGTATTTGTGCAAAAGTTTGGTGGTATTTACTGTCCTGTCAGTAAAAAAGTACCGGTTCTTAATAAGCAAGGCATATTCTATTAATTAGTAATTGTTTTGTCAAGAATAAAAATGCTATGACAGCGTAATGGATGAATACTATCCAAGAAAAGCTCCTTATAGTTTAATATTCACATTAACATTTTGTAGTAACTATGCATACCTCCCTACCGGGGTGGAGAACCTTCCAGGCCAGTGTCTGAATACCTTCCCGTAATTATTGCATTTTGGTCCCCTGAGCTTGACCAATATTTATTCCTAATAGTTCAGCTTGTGATTATTCTGACAGAATGCTAAAAACAACAAAAAAATCGATGAAGCTAAAATGTTACTGGATAACAGAAAGGACTCGATTGTTTATATTAATTTACCGTTACTTACTACCGTTTCATTGTGTGCGGTATTTAACCTGCGTTCCGTTGCAACAGCGTGGATGCATTTAGCAGCATGTAATGCAATTAGTCATTTAGCAAGTAGAAACTGGCCCCCTACTGGTAGAAATGGTCACTTCTACTGCTGCATCTGCGTGATTTCAGAAACACTGGTCTAATGGGCTCGATCATTTTGCCCGAACGCTGATGCTTTTATCTTTGGATGCCAGTCTAAGCATGGTCAGGCTT